TCTCTCCTGGAGAACGTCTTCGTGAGCCTCTCATGATTTCAGGATAGTTGAAACCCTCTTGAACATTCAGAAAGAGTGAATATGAAATTCTAATCACGAAAGGTGTTCTGTGAAGCACGTGAATTCTCTCCTGGGGAGCGTCTTCGTGAGCCTCTTATGGTTTCAGGATAGTTCAAATCCTATGATGTTCCGATTCAATGCTCACCGATGATCTGAGCCATGGGGCAAGTTTGTCTTCCTAAGAATCTTTTTGAACATTTCGAGAGCACATGTTTGAACATTTAAAGTGCATATGAACATATATGTACGAAAGGTCGCCTCCGAGGGGATAAATCGCCATGTCGAACATTGCATTTTTGTTCCTGCCTCTCGCGTTCTCTTCTCTTCCCGCTGTCCTACCTTTCGTGTCTCCCTCCTCTCAAGTTCTTAACATTGTCATATTGTGGCCGTCTTAGGAGTTCTTGAAGGGGATGGCTCAAGTACAAGGAGAGACGTTTTTTTTTTTTCAGCCTTCAGTGGACCGGTGATGGATGGACAGATGAAGGGATGGATTGATGGGGTGTTGTTCTAGTAACTAGTAGATCCGCAATCGAAGTCCGCACCTGTTTCTTCCTGTGCTTCCGGTCCGGTCTGGGTCGTTGCCTACAGCTTGAGGGCCCTCACACATAGCTACGGTCCGCGGTCGTGAGACATGCATGACATACAACAGTTGAGACATCGACATTGACAATTAGACAGGCAAAAGTACTTATTTTTGCAACCCGCCTTCAAACAATGCGATCTTCCTGGCACTCGCGAATCCCCAGGCTCCATGTTGTGTTCGGGTCATCTGCCGCATGGCGTCGGCATCATGATTGTAGGGCCCTGTTTGTTACCTGATTGTTGGCAGAAAGGTTCTTCTTTCGATGATGGGGATCAGGGCTTGCCGAGCTCATTGCAATTGATGACCATGGGAATTTCACCGCCATGAAAGCTCCAATCTCTGCTATTTGACTTTTCTTCTTTTTCATGCCAAGAATTCCGACCGCACGTTCTAAGCATTCAGAACATGATGCCACTGTTTGATCTCTTCTTTGATCACATGATGCCGCCGCTGGTCTTCAGGGTCAGTTGCAGGTATTCCGTTCCTCGAACTCGAGTGGCTTCACATGTGGACGGAAACACGCGATGTCCTTTCGCATCTTGATTGTTTCAACCTACTTTTGCTGGTTATCCTTTGGCAGGACTTCAAAGAGTCTCCGCCAGCATTTCTCTTCCACCCCCACGGTGTTCATACTTGTAGTCATCAACGCATGTCTAACTTTGCACAGCCCCGGGTCGCTATGCCATGGCTCAAACCTACGGACGTTAGGGTGTCTTTCTCAACGACTTGGGCATTCGCAGGTTCAATTTTTCTTGAAACTCTTGTGGGCAATCTTGTAGATCATGTCTTTCATCACCCATTTGACATACCAACCATTGAAAACAGAGAATGTGTTGAACAAACGATGCTGTAGTCATTTGCTTTCTCATATCTGTGGCACGCTCGGCTGCCAACCTTTTCCAGTTCGAAACTGGCGCAAGTAGAAGTGTCAACGACAGCAGTATGCGAATCGGAAAGCTTCCAGCTGCATGCTCGGACTCCTCTTTCTGTATATCGAGTCACCTCCTTTGCAGCAGTGACATGTGGGTCATGCTTCAAGGAGTGTATTCAGTGTATTCTCTACGAGGCATCATGTAATTACGTAGGCAAGGTGGTCTTTTGCCGACGGTTTTGTGAGTCCATTTGCGAGCTGCTGTTGTTGAGAGTTGACCCATTTACGTGCTGCAGCTATCCGCTCATGAAGGATGCAGATCTCAATTGCTGTTCTTTGCTCTCAGTTTGAGCCGTGGAGTGACGGAAATGGCCACTGTTGAAGAGGGCGGCCTTGCACCAGTTATTACCGGTGATATCCATTCTAGATTCTAGAATGCTGTATGGCCACATGGGTGTCGATCAGTGGATTATTGTCGCAAAGAAGACCTTGGCCCACTCGAGCTCATCCACGGCAATGGTGGCGGACTGCACCTCGGGCAGCACTGAGCTCCTGCACACGTGCACCTTCGGCCGCTCTGCATTCGCAGCAAATACAGACCAATGTGAAAGATGACTCAGGTCACAGTGTCTTCTCACAGTGAAAACACAGTTCTGGACTGTTTGGCCTTCAGCGTGTCCTTCACCACGAGTTTGTTGATGACCTGCAGAAGGCTGATGTTGGCCGCAGCGGTTGGGGGTCGCTTGTGCACCGTGAAATAGAAAAGGTGCAGCGAGACCATTTGGTGGTGCACAAGCCATTCTAAAGTGGTCTTTGGTAGAGATGTCGCTGTGCCACACGGTTTTGCGCGGCCACGGTGGAAAGTGCGTTTGTGCGAGTCCGTGCCATGATGGTGTAAATTCAGCATGTCGCTGTGTTGCACCACTACCACTGGTTACCACTACTGACCATGGCCTTACCTTTCCGTCGCGGTTCACGATAAAGATGAAGCATTGGATAGCATTGGTCATCTGTTTTTTCCATCTCTGCCTCCTGCTTGCCTATCGTTGACCCCTGAAGCATGGTGATCTCCTCTAAGACCTCTTTAATCTCTTGGGTCTCGCTCCTGTATCGCTGGAAACGTCGACCATGCTGGGCAGTGATTGATTTGTCCGAGATGTGGTGGTTGAAAATGAGCTCGGAGGTTTCGAAGGCCCGACATGGGTCTCTGATCGAATGGCGTCCTCCTCATGAATCGACCAGCACCTTTTGCCTTCACTTCTTCTTTGCCTTCACTTGTGCCTGGATAGAATCGTCGACAATGCCAGAAGATCTTGAATGCGAAAAAGTTGGAAAAACCCAGCCAAGAAGGAGGGAGCCCACTGCGAGGAGGACGATGAGCATGGCATCGAGAAGAGCTTTGGTGACAACGACTGTTACCAAGAAGAAGGCTTTGTTGAATGTGGCTTTCGCAGTGGTTCATCAACATTTGCAAATAGCTGGCTCTCCGAACTGGAGTTCTTCTGGGCCTTCTGCAGTCTATCGCCGACATGCATGATGAACTTACCTTCGATTTTGAAGAGAACGAAGTACACCACAGCCAAGTATGTCACCGTAGAAACTGTCAAGATGGATCAGCGCCAGCTCCGCTACCCAATCTGGCTGCTCAAGTAGGTCGGCACAGGTCCGCACCTGTGTCTTCCTGGATTTCGGTCTGGGTCGTCGCCTGTGCAGCTCAAATGACCACGGCAGAAAGAAGTGCATGAAATGCAATCGTTGAGACATCGGCAATCAGAGACAGATGAGGAATGATGCACCGGCCTGCTGGAGCCCATGCCTTGGACAAAAGGTTCTAACAGTCGCTAGCCCAGAATGAGACCGGAAGCAGAGCCACTGATGTGTGCGGACCGGAAGCAGAGAGCATGCCACGCCGCAGCCAGGAAACGGCATGATGGATCTGGGGAGCATGTCTTTAGGAGACAGTGTGCCTGATCACGAAGTAATGACAGCAGCCGGTTGATTTTTGCAGTTGCAGACGCATCGCGGCATCACGTCAGGCAAAAAGCTTTACCGTATATACTCAGATCTTGGGTGAATTTGAGCCAGGCGATCTTTTTTTTTGCAAGGGGTGGACTTCAGGTTGGCCCCAGGCACATGCCAGCTGTACGTCTAATGTCAGGTGTGCCCGAGAAATTCATCAACGAACTCCCACGTCCACTCATGATCTTGTTGGCTCATCGGCAGTTCATCATGTGGCGGGATTCACTATTCTGGTTTCTTTGTCGTGGCCTCCTGGACGATTGCATGGCCAATTGCTTTAGTTGCTCATCTTCTGCTATGCATGGCCTTTGGTGTCTAAAAGATTCATCCAACCTGCCACCGCTTGCTTGGTAGATCACTTCTAAGGACCCAAGAGGAAGACACGACGTGATATCTCAAGTGCGAGGCACTGTTGCACACTCTTCTTGTTCTCCTGGTAGTAGTGACCCAAACAAAAGATCCAAAAGGTTGCAGAGCCCCTAAACACTTTTCAGTTCAGAGACGGTTTCGTCTTCGTGTGGATTCCTTGATGAAGCAGTTGCGACACACTTGTGGCTCGTGGCTCCTGGTTGTGCGTTTGACCTGACCTGTGGACATGCCCGGTATTGCCATAGAGCGCTCGGTATTGCCATGCGCCTTTTCTATTCGATCCCCTTCCAGTACAGTAGGGAGCTTGAGAATACGGCGTGCTTCAGGGTACTGTAGAGCTGTAGGGGTTCCTTGGATCAGTCCACAAATCCAAAGATAGATCATGGCAGGTGCACAGATTGAAATACGGGTGTATAAATATATATATATATATATATATGTAATATAATACAGTTGTTTATATGTACCCAAGAACACGCATAACCACACAACCTTCGTTCTACTGCACATATGGTGGTAGTAGTGGTGGCGGCGATCATGACAACGGGAATTGTAATGTTGCTGGTGATGATGATAGGGCTTGTGGGCTTCAAGCGTTTATTGCTTTTCTTGCCCATCAATATTTTGGAGTGAGTTTGCCAAGACGTGGTGCGCACGATGGTACTGAAAAGTAGCAAATGCACCCACGCACGTGCACACTGACACACACACACACACAAAGATGCCAGAAAGCCAGACTGGTGTGCCGCATTTCTTTCGCAATGCCGAAGGGCGTTCCGAAAAAGGTGACCCTGGTGCACCTCTTGCAGGTCAGGTGCACATCCTAATTGGCGGACCATTGGACGAGCCAAGCCCTTCTCGACAAATGTGTGTCACAAGGTGGTGGGGCTGACTCTGCTTGTTACAAGCTTGTGTGGATTTACTGGAGTTGCTGCTAGGAGACTGCGATTCCAAGTCCATGCTGGTTGCAACCAAGAGCCTGGAGAAGGCCTGAAGGTCTTGACTGATGTGACATTGTGACATAGTGATTTGATTCGACTTAGTGACATTTGACTTCGCGAGATGTCTAGTAATTGAATAACAACGGACGTGGTGTGCACCAATGTACGAATTGATCTACGTTGTGGTGAGAATGGTGTTTTGTTGGCCAATCCACCCAGCTGTGATTGCACACCAGTGCAATTTTGCTTCATACAGGGTATCTATGCCAGGTGTGAATAGATGGTGGTGCCAAGTGTAGTTGCAGGGGGTCCATTTGAGGGAGAACGACTGTTTAGAGCGAGGTCGGAAGTTGTGGGAGTGGGCAACGGCGGTCCTGTACGTCAGAATGGGGTCTCAAAGTGGCTAGAGTTCTCTTCTCTTCCGGAAATGGCCACCCATTCGGAGATCCAGAGGGCACGCAGTTCTGATTGAGGTGAGTGAGCGGTCGATGGATGCAGAAGCAGGAAAAAGCAGACTAGCAGATGCTGGTTTTGTGGAGTACTCACTGTGCTTTGCACCCTTCGTATCTACAGCAGATGGTGGATCAGCCTGCACTTGCGGGCAGAATGCACACAGACAGAAATATAACAAAATAGACACATACTGATACACATGCAAAAAAGAGTATGTATAAACATGTTTCAGGTCTGGCAGGCTTGGGTGAACATGCATTCATTACTGCCATAGGTTTGAACTAACGAATGTTTTGGCTCAAGTGCCTTGGCCAAAATAGCGTTTGTTCTCTCTTTTTGGGGCGGGACCCTAGAAAGACTAGCTTGGTAGGGAGGAACTCTACACTTGTGGTGGGTCTATCAGGGCGAGACCCTGAACGCCATGGGCGCTCGCGGAATCACCCTTGCCGCCTACACGTGTGCTCAGGTCATCCATGCGGCGGCTTGGTTCGAATGCAAGAACCACCTCGAGGAGCTTGTCCGCGCTGGGAGGGACCTATGCATGGCGGTTGTGGGCTGCGGCAGGCGAAAGTGTTCACCTCGGATACCCGGGGCACCTGTTGTCCATCCGGATGCGGCCGCACCGTGCCGACCCAAGAGGGACTTGGGCGGCGCAAGCGCTACTCCTGGCGACGACCCTGCAAGGCTTACCAAGTCAGTGGCAGAGGTGCGCTGTCCCTACATGCTGGTGCGCTGATGACATGCTGACTCTGCAACCCTGCCACGTCGTGATTGGTTGCGTGTCGCGCTTTATTACCTTACCACTGTGATGGCAACGTTGCTTCATGAGGGTGTCAGGGAGCGAGCTCAGACTATGTGGGCGATTGGCATGCATGAATGAACAGTAGTCATGACCATGAAGGAGGTTCCGCCGGGCTGTCTCTACCTGTCCATGATGTTTATGCAACTGCACTCGTGTTTCAAGACCTTACTGGGTACGGGCACCTGTGGAGCTGTTCCTCAATGCGCACAGCTGGCCGCGCAGTGTCACGCCAGAAGCTGGTTCTTGATTTGGGTATCAAGCCGAACGCATAGCTTGGTCAGGTCTGGGCGGGTGCCCTGCGGTCTCATCCATGTCGAGCTGTTGCCTCCCGAAGGTCTCATGGAGCGCGCGTGTCTTTTTCGAATGACTTGGCACTGTCGATCCGTTGGTGGAGTCCGACGAAGTGAGCGTCCAATACCGAGTTGGTTTGCACTGTTGGTTTGCACTGTTGGTTGATGAGGGGTCTCATGGCGTGTGAAGGTCGACTTGGTTAGCGCTGAACACTTGGCGGGATCCCATGGAGCCAACATCTGTCCATCTACTCGACGTGCTTGGAGTTCTTGCATCTCCTTGCACCATGCGCAATCTCCTGGAGAATTTCCGAAATTCAGTGAACTTTCACATTTTGTAGTCGCTCATTTCCAGTGCCACTGGCTTGGCGAATTGCTTCACGAGGGGTTTCGTGGAGCGTGCGTCATCGTTCCAGCTCGGCTTGGCCGGAGCTGTTGCTTCAGGAGGGGGTCTCCTGGAGCGTGCGTCGCGTAATTCATTCCACACTGGTTGCACTGTTGCTTCATGAGGGGTCTCATGGAGTGGTATATTCAACTTGATTAGCTCGGCTGCTTCATGAGAGGGACTCGTGGAGCGAACATCAGTCAAGTTCGACCTCTTTGCGCTGTTGCCTCATGAGGAGGCTCATGGAGCGTGCGCCCTGTAATTCAACACGGTTTTGTTGGCGCTGTTGCTTCGTGAGGGGTCTCATGAAGTTTATATTGGACTGGATTAGCTCGGTTGTT